ACAAGAGCGTCCCACAAGAGCTTCCTACAAGAGTGTCCCACAAGAGTTTCCTACTAGAGTGTCCCACAAGAGTGTCCCACAAGAGTGTCCCGTAAGAGTGTCCCACAAGAGTTTCCTACAAGAGTGTCCCACAAGAGTATCCTACAAGAGTGTGATTTGGACATATGTAGCTTTTCGAACGTGTTTGCATTCGGGTTCGTGGGCTCCATCTTGTTTTTTCTTTGAGTCCTCCTTTGCAGCCTTCTTCACGCCAGCTCCTCGATCTCCTCAGCCTGGGTCGGGAAGCTCGTCCATGCGATCTCCAAGTCCTGCCAATTCGTCGGTCGTAGTCACGGCGCTGACAAAGACGTCGCGCCAGACGAGATCGGCCAACTTGTCCAGGGCTTTATCCCCCCATACCTCTGGCAGTGCACCAGTCCAGGGCCTTCTGACTCCTGACTGCAGTCGGCGAGACAGAGGTGAACCTTTGCGTGTGGAGTCTTGCTTGAACCCCACGTCAACAGGGCTTCGAGGTCCATACCCGTCAACTTCACCATGAAGTAACGCCCCGATGCATCTCTGAGCTCCTCGATGACCTTCCCAGAAAACTGGCAGGCGTTGCCGTAATAGCTGGCTTCCATTCCATGGATCAGCCCTCCAATGGCTGGCTCCTCCTCTGGTACAGGGATCCGTCCCCGATCTCCCTCTTGTCCTGCTCCTGGCCTCCTCAAAATGCCCCTCCGACGGGGCTCCATAGCCGGGCGGCGTGCTACTTTCGGCGCCATCCCTTTCCTCCTCCTTTACCACGGCCTCCGCCGTGGTTCGAGTAGTACTGTCCTCTGAGGACGCGCTTGTACCCCTTCCAGCGTCGGGCTTTCCTTTCTTCTTCCTCGTAATACCTCGGCGGCGAATGCGATGGTGTACGCGGCCGTCGGGGCAAAGGCTTTCTTGCTGAAGGCTTTGCTATCCGTGTAAGACTGTAGCGCTTGTCTGCCTCAGCGTCCGCGACTCAGCTCTTCCATTATTTGAGGAAGGTCTGCGATGCAGTGGAGGAGACCTGCGAGAAGTACGAGTCAGACCGCACGGCCGGCTACTACGTGGACAGTGCCGGAGCGCCAGTCTCTGATGAAGTTGACAAGAAGCCAACCAGTCCACCGGCAGAGGAGGACGACGGAGTAGAGGTTGCAACTGATGAGGAGGAAGAGGAAGCAGCTCCAGAGGAGATTAAAGACGAGTGGGGAGGTGCTCTCGTGAACACAAGCTTCTCGAGCCTGACCACGATAAAACAGGGATTCCAGTCTGCTGCTGCAAGAAGCGATATTCAAAAGGGGTGGCGTTTGCACGCTGTGGGTGGCAAGACAGTTGATTGTGTCATCAATGCGCGTCGTCTGCTGCAACAGCCCCGAACGATCACGGGCAAGATTTGGGTCCGGTTTTCGGCATGGACTCCCTGTGTGGATCTGGATCCGGTTTCGTTGTCCTCGTTGCACACTTTACAGCGGGTGTTTTGCACCAACAGCTTCTCTTGGGCCGGTGAGAGGGTGGCTGAGGACGCTGCGGCGGATGCCTGGGCCGGGTCTGCTCTCTCAGGCATAGGAGGTTGGTTTCGGGCCTTGGAGTCAAACAAACTGTTTTGGTTCCACCTGGAAATTGAGCAGGGCCAATTACCCGATCTTTGGCAGTGGCCGGAAAAGATGCAAGCAGCTATATGTGCTCTGGAGCTTTTAGCGCAGCTGGCTCTGGTTCTGGCTCGCGCAAAGGTTGATGGGACCGCTCAGTTGCATTGTGTGCGCTTGCGACAATATGGCGACAACATGCCAGTGGTCGCGGCTTGCAGTAAGGGCATGTCCACTGCGCCCCCGCTGTGCTTTGCGCTGATGGCCTTGGCTTTTGCGGCTTTGGAGCTACAAGTGGCCTTGGAGCTGTCCCATGTGGCAGGCGAGCGGAATGAAGAGGCTGACTTGCTAAGTCGTTTGAACCACCCAGAAGCGAAGCCATTGCCCTTGGTCATGAGGGCCAAGTTCCCTGAAGCAAATCGGGTGCGTATAACCTTGGCGGACGTGCTGGCCCCGTGGTACAAGTTCATGCAGCGACCAAGTTCGCTAATTGAATTCGACCGTCCTTAGTTGTCAGTTCCCGTAGTTGCGGTTGCGTAGGCTGCACAGTCACTCAATTTTTTGGGGGTTTAGTAGGCGCGCCTGTGCAGAAGGGTACCAACAGGCAAGTTTGGGGAGAAGGAAAGCCTGTTGGCAGAGTCCTGCATGGATGGCTTGTCCCTTCATCTTG